TTGACTTGGTTGTAGAACTAAGCTGCAGCTCACATTCCTGGCTCCAGTTCAGCAGCACTTATAAAATATTGTTGTCCCCCCCCCTCCACTGACATTCCTTGATAAAATACGAGAGATAGGATTTCCCTCCTTCAGAGTCCAAGGCGATTGCTTCAAAAAGAGTCTATGCTTTGCTCAGACAACTTTTAACTTTTTAAAAAACCTAACCTCTGTTGTTTTCAGTCATACTGAAACACTTCATTGCTGAGGGCATATTTACACCAGAGCTGAAATTGGTAGACTAATAATCCTTTCTTCCCTGGGACTGATGGGGACTGCAGTTGTGGGATGATGGGTGAGATATCTGTAAGGAGGAGTACATTCCTTGCCAAACTACAATTCCCAAGATTCTTTGCAGGGGAGCTGTAGCAGTTCACGTGGTATACAAAGCACATGTATGTTTTTAGTACAGGTACATTTCTTATGCCAGAGCATGCAAAAGGTTTGCCAGGTGAAAACAGGGCTGCCAACTTCCAGGTGGGACCTGGAGTTCTTCTGGAATTACTGCTGATCTCTACATGACAGAGATCGGACTCCCTGGAGAAAATGACTGCTGGAGTGTGGACTCCATGCCACTGTAACCAACTGAGGTCCCTCCTTTCTCCAAACCTGCCTTCCCCAGGCTCCACCCCCAAATCTCCAGGAATTTCCCAACCTGGAGCTGGTAACCCTAAGTCAAAGCACAGTTCTTCTGAGCTTGTACAGAGTACTTCCCTTTGAAGGACAGCATTATTTGTTTTGTCAAAAAATTGTCTTATAGAGACTGGGGAACTATACAAATATTAAGCACATGTCTCATTTTCTGGCCACTGGCCAGAAACCTTATTACAACATAATGCTAAACAGAGTTACTGCCTTCTAAATCCATTTCAGTCAATGGCCTTAGATGTGTGTAAATCTGTTTAGGATTCAGCTGTAATGTTCTAGCTGATTTATTTCTATGCCTCCAGCCCTTCCTTTGAGGTACAGAGGACAGCATCCCTGGTGGTTATCTTAATTTTTTTCCCCCTTGGAAAACCTCATTGAGGTAGGTTAGACAGACAGTGTTTGACTAAAGATGCCTAGTGACTTTTGTGGTTGTGTGGGAATCTGAACATGGGTCTTGCCAGGCCCAGGATATTTCTTTTCTATACTACTTCAGGCTCTGTCAGTCTGTAGAAATAAATTGCTGTGAGGGGAAAGGAAGAGGGCATTTAACTCTTCAAGCCCTGCTTGATTTTTTCAATCAAAACTGGGCTGCTGGTTCTGTAACTAGCAGTTTTAAAGTTCTTTTTTGAAATCTCCCAGCCTGTAAGTAGGGATCCCAAGTCCCCCCGGGGGGCGGGGAAACCCCCGCCCCAGAGGCCTGTTCCCCGCGCCACCGGATTGGGCCTCAGGGGGAACTCCTCCCCAACATGCGCATCACCCGGAAGTGACACGGGCACGGCGAGCACGCTGGGGGCGGGGCCACGGCCATACAAGGGAAAACTCTATGGTTATCCCTTGTATGGTCGTGGCCCCGCCCCCAGCGTGCCCGTCGTCATAATGTCACTTCCTGGTGACGTGCGTGTGGTGCGCACGTGCTTTGTGCACATGCGCACGCTCCAGGATCCACCCGTAAGTCCCACTTGGCAACCCTACCTGTAAGCAGTAAGCCAAAAGACATTGCTCCCTTCCATTTTCTGTGTGGTAACACATGCTGTGTATATGATCACATACACACCCATTCATGGTGGTTGTGTACGTGTTTTTTTCTTCTTCCTCCTCTGCTTCTGTCAGGTTTCTCAAGTCCTGGCCCCACTGGTGGACCTCCTGATGGCACCTGGTATTTTTAGCCACTGTGTGACAGAGTGTTGGACTGGATGGGCCTTTGGCCTGATCCAACATTGGCGTCTCTTATGTTCTTATGAATGATTTCTCCCAGCCCTGTGTTTCCTAAACTGCTGACAGGTGGCACATTTATATATCTACCTGGTACATTTTTTTATTCTGCCCTTCCTCCCAGGAGTTTAGCCGGGTGTACCCAGTTCTTCCTCATTTTATCCACACAACAACCCTCTGAGATGGGTTAGGCCGAGAGTGGCTGGCCCATCCGACTCCCTGCTTCTCCCTCAAACAATGCTCCCTCTAAGCTGTGGAGTCTTGTGAGCAAAAATTCTACTTTGTGTGATACTGGCGTTAAAGTTGTGAGCGAGCGATTTGGCTCCTGCATAAATTAGTTTGCCCTGGAGCCCTCCTTCCCGAGCTAAGACAAAAATGTGCAAGCTGATGGCTAAAAAACTGTGAGCTAGCTCACACTCACTCAGCTTAGAGGGAACACGGCCCTCAAAGCTCTCCACTTGAATTCTAGCTTTACTAAAATTGGTGGAATCTACTGACCACTAGATTTTCCCCAAATGTGCCAAAGGGGAACAGGGGGGTCTCAAAAAGGTGCTGGAAATAACTATTTGTAAAAAGGTTTCTAGTTGTGGCTGGACACATCCCCTTTTTTTTGTCAGAGGCAGTCCAAGAGATGAGGAAGAGACAAGGCCATATACCTTCCTTTGCTTAAAAATATATATATTGAAAAGTACCAGGCCCAGACTATTTTCAGTTGTCAGTCCCCTCATCTCTCAGGTGCTCTTGGGAGAGCAGGTGGTCAGCAGATGAGAAAAGGAAGGATGTTTGCACCTTGCTTCTTATTTATTTTTTAATTAAAACATTTATAGTCCACCATCTCCTCTGGTATGTCCCTGGGAGAGCATTACGCTCTGCTGAGAGCAATCTGCTGGCGATAGGGTTGCCAAATCCGTCTTCGCTGGGACCGGGGGGCTCCCGGCCGGCGTGCACATCACCCCGGAAGTGACATGGGCACGCTGGGGGCGTGGCCACGGCCATACAAGGGAAAACCATAGAGTTTTCTCTTGTATGGCCGTGGCCCCTCCCCCAGTATGCCCGGCGTACCCACGTCACTTCCTGGTGATGCACACGCGGGGGTGGGGTTCCCCCGGGGCCTGATTCCACGGCAGCGGAAATCGGGCCTCCAAAGCGGGGGTTTACCCGCCCCCGCTCCCACTTGGCAGGTTATAGTATCTTCATACAATGAAAAGCTTCACCTTCCCAATGCATTTCCATACATTAAGTCTCTTATTCAATGGGATGTGACATCTTTCTCTCGGCCTGTTGGGAACCCTAACTGGGTCCTACGCTAGCCATACTCTAGTCATAAGCAGTCTCATGTCGACCAATGGACAGGACAGAAAGAAGCTAAATTTCTATGAAGTCTTTCCTGATGTTAATGTTAAAAGGTGGTCTTCAGAGGTTGTGTACAAAGCCGGCAGGAACCCCAAGCCCAAGACGAAAGCCAAGACACCTGAGGTTTTACAGTGGTGTGAGAACTATGCATGTGCATACACACACAAACACAAATTGATGTGTGTTGCAGCATGTTTGAATGTTTCCTCCTTATCTCCTGTCTTCATTGGGCTTTCAATTCCCTTCAAATTATACCAATATGTGCATAATAATAATAATAACCTTTCCTTGTGGTCCAAGGCAGCTTAATGATCATAGTTAAAAACCTGATTCAATTAAAACCAAAATAAAATAGCAAACCCTAATCTTTGCAGTGTCTCTGATGGAAAACACATTGGTACTCATTAACTCTAGAAACTTAGTTCTAATTTTGAAGTAATTTTGAAGCCCTTTTTTAGCTTAACCCTTCGTGTGTGTGTGTGTGTGTGTGTGTGGTCTATAGATTGGTGTTGTTGTCCCGTCCTTTTTTTCTATGAATAAAAAATTAAAAGCCCAAGACAGATAAAAAAAGGCTCACTTGGCACAGTGAAGATTCGCCATTTTGCATTTGTGTCTGCTGCAAATACAGAGACAACAGTGGATCCACATGATCAGCTATTATTTTCCTGTATTCTACCCCACCGTGCCCCCAGAGGGCTTCAAAAAAACCCAGTAATTGTAATCACAATTATAATAGTAATTGCTGTTTTGTTTTTTTTTAAAAAAAGCCTTCTGGTGGTGTGGGAGGGAAACTGGTGGTTCCAGGGACTGATGGAAGAAAAATGGAGCTGATGATGACGGGACTTTTAAAAATGTGAACTTTCCCATCTGGAAAGGGCGCTAACGTGCTTGAAGAAGTGTTCTTTCCAAAAAAAATTGTGTAAAGCATGTTTGAGAAAATGTACCAAAGACAGGGAACAAAATCTAGAAAGCAATTATTTAGAAACTGTTTTAAAAGAGGAAAATAATGTGCTGGAAGCAAAGACAGAGAAAAGCATCTATATGGAGAGCAAGTGTAGTGTAGTGATTAAGAATATTGGACTAGTATCTGGGAGACCCACGTTCAAATTCCCACTTGTCCCATGGAGGCTCACTGCGTGACCTTGGGTCAGTCACATTCTCTCAGCCTAACCTACTTCACAGGGCTTTTGTGAGGATAAAATGGAGGAAAGGATAATGCTATAAGGTGCTGAGGAGGAGGAGGAGATTGGATGTATACCCCACCCTTCACTATCTGAAGGAGTTTCAAAGTGGCTTACAATCCCCTTCCCTTCCCCTTCCCACAACAGACACCCTATGAGGTAGGTGGAGCTGAGAGAGCTCCTTTGAGGACTGCCCTTGAGAGAACAGCTCCAAGAGAACTTGTGACTGACCCAAGGTCATCCAGCAGGTGCATGTGGAGGAGTGGGGAATCAAACCCGGTTCTCCCAGATTAGAGTCCGCGCTCCTGAACCACTACACCAAACTGGCTCTTTGGGTCCCCATTGGGAAGAATGGCAGGGTACAAATGGAGTAACGCCCACCAGAGGTTAATGTTTGTGAGCCGCAATACAGCAGAGTCTTGTGTGGGTGGCACACCACCAACTTCAGTGCCCCTCCTGTGCCCCTGTGTCCATCCTGTCCCGCCCCGCCCCACCCCTACAGAGGTGTGGAGCTTCAGGAGAGTTTGACCTGACTGGGATCCCTTCTCTTCCCCTCTCCTCCCCCAGGTTCGTTTCCTGGAGCAGCAAAACAAAATGCTGGAGACCAAGTGGAGCCTCCTGCAGAACCAGAAGACCACCCGCAGCAACATGGACAGCATGTTCGAGGCCTACATCAACAATCTGCGCCGGCAGCTGGATGGCCACGGCCAGGAGAGGGCGAAGCTGGATGCCGAGCTGGCCAACATGCAAGGGCTGGTGGAAGAATTCAAGACGAAGTGAGTACTGGGGGCGGGGAGGTCTCTGTCCCAAAAATGGCCTAGGCTTGCCAAGAAACCCCCGCCCGAGAGGCCCGTTACCCGCCGCTGGCAGATCGGGCCCTGGGGGGAACCCCACCCCCAAAGCACGCGACGTGCCCGGCGTCAGCACGTTACCCGGAAGTGACGCAGTCGCGTCGGGGGCAAGGCCGCGGTCATCCGAGGGAAAACTCTATGGTTTTCCCTCGGATGATTGTGGCCCCGTGCCCGACGTGGTTGTGTCACTTCGGGGTGACGTGGTTGCGGCACGCACTCCCGGAGCGGCGCTGGAGTCCCCCCGCTCTACATACAGCGAGGATTTGGCAACCCTAAAATGGCCCTAAATCAAGCCTTGCTGCAGATCTCATTTCGGAGGATATTCCACGTGTCCTCCTATAGAATCTTGTGCAGTATTTGGCTTCCCGAGACCCTTGCGTTTCGTTTTTTTCCTTTAAAGTTACCAGTCCTCATGGTTGTTGTGGATTTCTTTCCACCTTAATCTAGTTGTCAGGGGTCTACTTGGCCAACTTGGATCAGGTCTACTTGGCCAACTTCGTTTTTGGCTGACCGTTGGCCATGATTAAGAGGGGGAAACGGATTATGGTGCACGCCATAGGGTTGCCAGTCTCCAGGTGGCACCTGGAGATCTCCCACTGTTGCAGTCGATCTGCAGATGACCCAGTTCTGTTCCCCTGAAGAAAACGGCTGCTTTGGAGGGTGGTCTCTGTGGTGTTATACCCTGCTGAGGTCCCCACCCTTCCCAAGCTCCACTGGCCAGATCTCCAGGTCATTCCCAGCCCAGAGCTGGCAACCCTAGTGGTGACCACAGTTCCCATTTAAGCAGAGTTAAACACTGATTGGCTAAAAGGAATCCGGTTGATGTGAACCACAGGTCAAGCCGGTGCTCATGTATCCTTTACTGTAGTTACGAGGTAGGACAGATTTTGAGTCCAGGGGCACCTTTAAGACTGACAAAGGTTTATTCAAGGTATGAGCTTTCGTGCGTGCACGCACACTTTTTCACATACATTGGAATGGAAGGTAGAGTTCAAACTTATAGGCAGAGGCGGAACAGCAAATGAACATGATGATGTTTTAAGATATGCAAATCAGAACCCAAAAAGGTTAGTTGAGGATCAAAGAGGGCCAACTCTAAAAATCATACAAAAATGTACATATATTTATTACACACAAATTAAAATAACAAAGAAGGGCCCAATCATACCTAATAAACAAACATATCTATAAAAACATACAAGGGCTAATGAAGGAGACCCAACGCGTTTCGGCCTAAGAAGGCCTTCCTCAGGGGTCTAGTATATATAGGACATATAGGCTGATATATACAAATACAGGCAATCATTAGGGTTGCCAAATCGTAAAACCGGACCGGCGGGGGAGCGTCCTGCCGGTCCGGGTGTTGTCCGCGGATGCGCGCGCACGCCGCCAGAACGTCACAGGAAGTGACGTCACACGCTGGGCGGGGCCACGCCATTTGAGGGGAAAACAAAGAGTTTTCCCCTCAAATGGCTGCCATTTGAGGGGAAAACTCTTTGTGCAATAATGACCAGAGATTAATTGAAAGTATAGCCACTGGGCAAGGAAGAAAAATAATACAAAAAATACAAGTGAAGCCTCCAGTCCAATCACATGTCCAGTGGCCCTTTTCTCTGGTCTACTATATATTCTTCTAGAATTATGCAGCCAAATGTTCCCAGTGAAAGTTACTTGAGTAAAAAGCAGTGTTGAGCCCAAAAAAAGGTTGAGCTTATATAGTATAAGCATTTTTGTATTATTTTTCTTCCTTGCCCAGTGGCTATACTTTCAATTAATCTCTGGTCATTATTGCATACTGTGCATATGTATGATTGCCTGTATTTGTATATATCAGCCTATATGTCCTATATATACTAGACCCCTGAGGAAGGCCTTCTTAGGCCGAAACGCGTTGGGTCTCCTTCATTAGCCCTTGTATGTTTTTATAGATATGTTTGTTTATTAGGTATGATTGGGCCCTTCTTTGTTATTTTAATTTGTGTGTAATAAATATATGTATATTTTTGTATGATTTTTAGAGTTGGCCCTCTTTGATCCTCAACTAACCTTTTTGGGTTCTGAATTCTAAGTTTTAGGTTCAGTTTGTTTTCCTTCTCCCTTTCTGTTCTTAAGATATGCAAAGACACAACTAAATAACAAGCTAATGTCATTAGGTCAACAGTTGTTTTGATTTAATTAAGGGGGAAAGGACAGCAAAGCAATAAATATGTCAAATAGGGGATAAATGTGTAAAGGTATTGTTTCTAATTGTTGTTAAGAGGTGGCTGGATTTGCTCCAGCAAGGGCCTGTGGAGATGAGGGGAGGTGTGATCTCTTAGCCACAGTTAAGAGAGCTGAGCCATTGTGTGCACCAGTCCCCTTTATATGTTCAATCAGTGATTTTTTTAAAAAAACTGGGCAACATCTTCCCAATTTCAAATAGTTTTCAGGCGCTGAACCCCCTACCTCTTTTTGTACATTAAGCGTCAGTCAGATTTGATCACAAAGTAGTCAGTCTGTGTCAAGGGCTGAATTGACTGCAAGGGCTGATCCGGAATCTATTTAGAAAGAATTTATAAGCCCGAGATTTCCCTAGAACACCTGGTGCGGTATATGTGAGAGGAGCCGTCCCTTCTGCGGATGATACTCAGAACCATCCATGAAATGCAAATGGTAAGCTCCTGCAGGGAAAGGGGAAGGTGTTTAACTCTTTGGCTTCACTCAGGCATTCTGCTTGATAATTAGCATATTTAAAGGAGAAAAGAGAATGTGAGAAAAGAAAACCGTGCTTTTTCTGCCCTGTAAAAATTCTAACAATGCCCTGACCTGGATAGCCCAGGCAAGCCCGATCTTGTCAGATCTCGGAAGCTAAGCAGGGCTGACCCTGGCAAGTAATTGGAAGGGGAGACCTCTGAGGAATACCAGGGCTCGGGATGCAGTGGCAGGCTATCAAGCTGCCTCTCTGAAACGTCCATACCCCACTAGGGGTCACCAGAAGTCGCCCCCCCCCCAATGCTAACAACAAAGCAGGGAGCATGGTTTTGAATAGTGACATGGAGTGGAAATTGAGTGGAAATTAAAGGGTTAATCCCTCTCTGTCTTTCCTGCACTGCTCCAAGGCCAGTTGAGGCTGTATGAGCTTGTAGCTTGCATTTTATGGGCAGGCCAAGGCACATGATTTTTTAATCTCATCTGCTTGAGCCCTGAGACGGATCTCTTTTTGTAACAGGGCGGAGGCCGGGCTCTTTCAGCCCTGGGGGGGTTCTGCATCCTGCAGGAGGGCTGCATTTGGGGTGGTTCTGACTTCTGACCTGATGAATGCTGCTTCTCAAAAATTAGTAATCAATAATTAGTAATCTATGTCCATTTTGGAAGTTTCCTTGCCCACCCATGGCTGCTGGGAATATGGGCATGGGGGCAGTGGAAACTTATAAAATGACGGTCATACATGTGGAATATTTTCAGTCATTTGCATTATGGCATTTTAGTGGACATCCAGGTGTGCAAATTTGTTTTGCTGGGATTTTCAGTCAGGTTTGAAAGCCTCTTTTGGAAGCATCTGTAGGACAATTAAAAAATACCCCCACCAATAAAAAAAAACACTCTTTAAGAAGTACAGTTCCCAATAAAGCACTGCATGCATACGTTGGAATCAGAATCAAATCCAAAGCATGTATAAAATTCTCTCCTTGCTGACACATCTGAGAACAGTCCATTGTCCATTGTGTATTACTCAGCCATGTTCAGACATCAAGGAATGACCCTTCAAAGTCCTCAGACTTGCTTGTTCCACTTCCCTCTTATGAGAGCCAGTTTGGTGTAGTGGTTAAGTGTGCGGACTCTAATCTGGGAGAACCAGGTTTGATTCCCCACTCCTCCACTTGCACCTGGCTGGATGACCTTGGGCAAGCCATAACTCTGGCACAGCTGTTCTTGAAAAATAGCAGGTTCTGTCAAGAGCTCTCTCAGCCCCACCTACCTCACAGGGTGTCTGTTGTGGGGAGGGGAAGGGAAAGGAGTTTGTAAGCCGCTCTGAGACACCTTTGAGTAGTGAAGGGCGGGGTATAAATCCAATCTCTTCTTCTTATGCGCAGCTCAAGACTGTGTGTTTCCAGCAGAACAGCACAGTTTATCGTTTCATTAAAATTGAACAATTCTGGTTTGGGATCCTGGCTTGCAGGCAAGAGAACAAACCGTTGTTTGTCATTTCCTCTGGCTTGGGCAAAAAAACAACAAAGGTTGTTTTGCTAGGAATGTTGAAGCCCTCATTTTCTAAACTGTGCCCACAAAGAAGGAGAAGGTGACTTCCAAGGCTGGTGGTTGGAATAACATAGCATGAGCTGGTCAATGCATTTGAAAATGCCGATCTAACAAACCCTCGGCTTTACTTAAAAATATCAGGAACTCCTTTGCATATTAGGCGACACACCCCTAATGTAGCCAATCCTCCAAGAGCGTAAAGAGCTCTTCTTACAGGGGCTACTGTAAGCTCTTGGAGGATTGGCTACATTAGGGGTGTGTCGCCTAATAGGCAAAGGAGTTCCTGCTACAAAAAGAGCCCATGTAATGAGTTCAGTGTTTTAAGGGATGAAATGAAACTGGAAGGTTTTGAAAAATTACTTTGCTTTATTAATAGGGCGATCTAGTTCATATATTTTTTTAAAGAAGCTACTTGAACTGATACATTCCAATGTATTTGAAAAAGTGTGCCTTGCACCTGAAAGCTCATTCCTTGAATAAACCTTTGTTGGTCTTAAAGGTGCCCCACTGGACTCTAAATTTGTTCTACTGCTTCCGACCAACATGGCTGACTCCCTGGATCCCCTTTCAAGAGGGTTGCCTAGAAGTCCTTCCTACCAGTGTGAGAGCCAGCATGTTAGTGGTTAGAGCAGGGGTCATTTCCTGCAGGAGCGCACAGGAGTGGAGCTCCAGCAGTAAAGAGCCCAGGGGGCGGGCACATGCAACAAGCCCCACCCCCTGCTCCCAGCAGCCCTCAGTCAGAGCAAGAAACAGCCAGGTAAGCTGCAGAGCTCCCCCCTGCTCCCCCCGGCCCAAAACAGTCCAGTGGCACCTTTAAGACCAAGTTTTATTCAGGTACAAGCTCTCCCTCCTCTGCGAGGACAGATCTGCACGTTCTCCCCCCCCCCCAATAGCTAGCAATCCAAAACAGCCCAGTGGAGCCTGAGCGGTGGGTGTTGCCTTCTGACACACTTCTGGTGATGCCAGGGGGTGTGGCATATGCAAATGAGTTATGTTAATGGGCTCCTGCACCTCTTTTTCTACGAAATGACCCCTGGGTTAGAGTATCAGAATAGGATCTTTGAGACCCAGGTTCAAATCTCCATTCTGCCCTGGAATCTTGCTGCGTGACTTTGGGCCAGTTACGCCCTCTCAGTCTACCCTACCTCTCAGGGTTGTTGTGAGGATAAAATGAATGAGAGGAGAATGGGGGTAAGCTGCTTTGGGGAGAAAGCCAGCAGTCTTTAAGCAGCGGCTGGACAAAGACGTCAGGGATGCTCTAGGTTGATTAGAGTCAGACTAGATGGCCCGTATGGCCCCTTACAGCTCTGTGATTCTTTGAGAAAGGTGGCGTAGAAATGAAGTAAAGATGTATCTGATGCAGTAAGTACCTGATGAGGGATGCTTGGACTCTCAAAACATATCCCCCCAAAATCTTGTGGTCTCTAAGATGCTACTGGATTTGAATCTAGCCGAGGTAAACAAATAACCTATGAAGTGAGAAAACTGTTTGTAGTTACTTAGGGTTTATGTGTAAACAGGTGGGCAGTCAGCCCGCGTCCAGATGCATCACTGTCTCTCAGTATTTCTCAGAAACAGTTTCACCAGTTCATCCGCCACCTTTTTTTTAAAACGTTAAGCCTCTGATTGAACCAATTCTGCCCCTCCACCTGGCAGGTACGAGGAAGAAATCAACCATCGGACTGAGAAGGAGAACGAGTTCGTCGTCTTGAAAAAGGTGAGCAGAAGGCCAGTGGTGTGTTTTGGCTCATCGCTAGCCTGGCTGGGGGAGGACTGTGGGAGTCCCTCCTTTTTGCTTTGTCTCTCTATAATGGGTGTTGTGTCATTCTTGTCCCCACAGGATGTGGATGAAGCTTACATGATCAAGATCGAGTTGGAGACCCGCCTGGAGTGCTTGACGGACGAGATCAACTTCTTGAGGCAGCTGTACGATGAGGTAGGCGTTCCCTTCCACTAGACGGGAGCCTCCCTTCCAAAATATTCCTCTTCACCAGCTTGGGAAAAGCCCAGGAGCGGCAGTGCTTTGTGAAGCAGCGGGGCGTCCTCTCTGTAACGAGGAATTCGTTTTGTTTTTTTTATTATTAAAACAAGTTTTTATTAACGGGATATAAAACAAGTCCAAAATTAACCAGTTCACCATTTCTTAATATATCCCTTTCCCCTTTTCCCTCCCACCCCGTCTCCAGGCTTCCCGCAGCGTTCCCGCCCCCACCACATTTTCTCTCTTAATCTTTCCCTTCAGTTTGATATTATTTAAAGGTTCACAATTTCTTTTGCTACCTTACTTATATTTTTTCAGTCTCATAGGTAACCTATTCGATAACATTTTCTTTCCAACATTTCTAAAGTCTATTCTTAATAATTACTAAAGCAAAAAAGTTTGACATCCCAATGTTTCTCTATATATTCTTTAAAGTCCTTCCAATCCGCAATTTTTTTTTCATCTTTATTGTTCAACTTTCTTGTCATTTTATCCATTTCAGCCATAAAGAGTAGCTTCCTTATCCATTCCCATAGTTCAGGTATTCTTTCTTGCTTCCGACATTGAGCATATGTCGAGGAATTCGTTTTTAAAACGCCAAGGAGGCTGTCCAGATGTCATATGTGACCGTCAATTACATTTTAATTTTCCGCCAAGGCGATCAGGGTTACATTCATGGGCTCAGAGCCCGTGGTAAATCTCTGCTTCGTGGAAGGCACTTCTTCCAGGACGGGAATTTCCCAACATTTGCACTCTGCATGCTGTGCTTTGATCTAGCCAGTGCAGCTTTGATGCAGCAAACTCAGCTTGGACCTAGCAAGCTCAGAAAGTTTGCTTTATTGTTGTTGTTGCTGTTAAATTTATACTCAAGTGGTTAAGACGCTGAACTGCAGGCCGTGGAAGGTCGGTAGTTCAGCAGTTCGAGACCCGAGTGTGCCGGATGACGGAGTGAGCTCCCGTCTCTAGTTCCAGCTCCTGCCAACCTAGCAGTTCGAAAGCAAGAAATTGCAAGTAGATAAATAGGGACCACTTCGGTGGGAAGGTAACAGCGTTCCGTGCGCCTTGGTTTTTAGTCATGCCGGCCACATGACCACGGAAATGTCTTCAGACAGCGCTGGCTCTTCGGCTTTGAAACGGAGATGAGCACCGCAGCCCCAGAGTCGGATTCGACGGGCTTTCGAGCAAGGGAAACCTTTACCTTTACCTATCCCACAAGTGGGCTCAGGGCGGCTTACAGCATAAAATCCATAAAACAATAAAAACAATGAAAACAATGAAACAGCAGCTGGCACGATAAACTATAACAACAAGCCCCGTTGCCTTGTATTAGGTGAATATAGGTATTCCAGAAAACTCCCAATAGAATGGTTGAACGTCCACTGCCTCAACCGAAAGCATGGTGTAACAGCTCCATTTTGCAGGCCCTGCGGAACTGTAATAAGTCCCGCAGGGCCCTGATCCCAGGTGGGAGCATGTTCCACCATGTAGGGGCCAGGACAGAAAAGGCCCTGTCCCTGGTTGAGACTAACCAGGAGATGTTGATCAGAAGAGCGTAAAGCTCTCTGGGGTTCATAGGGGGGGGAGGCGGTCCTGTAGGTGTGATGTTCCCAGGCCACATAGGGCTTTAAAGGTCAAGTTGCCAATGGCTTTTAGGAACCCCCAGCACAGAGGCAAAAAATTCATAAAGGCCAAAGTTCCTTTGAAAAGAACTGACAATAAAAACAGCGACCAGGTTTGAGGCCCCATCTGCTGGATGCAGGGCTCTTTTTGTAGAAAAAGCCCAGCAG